TCTCCATAAGTACAGCAATTTTGGCAGGATAAATGCTTTTAGGATGTTAATCCTGCCCGACCATGAAAAGCCCATGCCTTTCCAATCCCTTAGATTTTTATTAGTTTGTTTTAGTAGTGGTAGAAAGTTAGCTTCTATTAAATCCTTTAATTCTGTAGTTATATTGATACCCAGATGTTTTAGGCTATCACTATTCTCGGTGAGCCCAGTGTTCTGCACAAGAAGTTTGATTGTCCTTTTGTTCATATTTTTAGCTATAAATGTCAATTTCTCCAGATTTATTTTATATCCTACGACTTTGGAGTAGTTGTTTATGTCCTTCAGTAATTCTGGGACTGAAATGTTTGGCTCTTCTAATGTTAATGGAATGTCATCTGCATAGATGTTTAATTTGGTTTGTCCTAGTGAATTTGTGAATCCCATATTTTTTTTATTCTGTCTTATTGAAATCGCGAAGGGTTCTAGCACCATTATATATAGTAAAGGAGAGAGAGGGCACCCTTGTCTGGTCCCGTTTTTTATGTTAAAATGTTGTGATGTAAATCCTGACCCTGTTATCTTTGCTGATGGAGAGCTGTAGAGAGCAGACACGGCTTGTAGGATTGGTCCAGTGATTCCAAATCATTTTAAAGTGGCGACCATGAAATCCCATCCAACCCTGTCAAACGCTTTCTCTGCATCTATTGACAGAAGTATTAGAGGGGTTCCACTGCTCTCCGCTTCCTCCATTAGGTTTATAATTTTTCTAAGATTGTTAATTGAGAACCTCCCTGGTATAAATTTGATTTGATTATTATTAATGAGTTGTGGTATTACTGTTTTTGTCTGTCAGCTAGAATGGAAGATAGTATTTTAATATCTGTATTGATTAATGATATGGGTCTATAGTTGCCTATGTTTTCTGGGTCTTTACCTGCTTTTGGGATGTGCACAATGTTTGCCCTCAACAGCTCTCCAGGACAATCTCCTGTTTCCATTATATAGTTACAAAATATTAGTGAGTCCCCTATTAGTTGATCTTTCATTAATTTGTAAAATTTATTTGTAAAGCCATCAGGGCCTGGAGCGGTGTTTATTTTAAGTTTATCAATCGATTTACTAACCTCTACTTCTGATATGGGCTGATTTATTTGCCTTGATTGATAGGGTTGGATTGTTGGCATGGGCAGGTTTTCAAAGAACTTCTCAATCTCTTCTGGCTTACCAAATATTTCTTCTGGTAAGCTATATAAATTCTGAGAAAATCTTTCAAAAGCTCCTCCGATTTTTTGGAGGGCCATTAGTTAAGTGTCGTTCTCTTTTATTTTATATATTACTCTTTTATGTTTTTCTTTTTTCAGTTTATAGGACATTTTTGTTTCTGATCTATTACCTTTTAAATACCATTTAGCTTGCAATGATTCTAGTTGTTTAGATGCTTTGTTTAATAGTTGATTGTTAATCTGTTTTTCTATTTCTGCAATTTTACTTGCTATTTGTGTAGTGGGTATTAATTTATTTTGCCTGTTTTGTTCACTTAATGTTATTTATAGTTCCAATAGTGGCGGTATTCCTTTTTTGTTTTCAATCAATATCATTTTTATCAAGTGGCCTCTAACTACACTTTTATATGCGCACCAGATCGTAATGTCTGGTGTACCTTTGTTTTTGTTTTCAAGAAAAAAATAGATTTTTTTTTTTAATTTCTTCCACAATCCTTTTTTGTGTAGTAGAAAGTCTTTTATGCACCATTGTTTGCAAAAAAATTATCAAATTTGTCTTTGTATTCCAGCATGATGGGGCCAAGGTCTGACCATGCTATTTCCTCGAGCTAGTCATTTTTCTAAAAGGAGTAATGTCTAAACTTGACTTTACTACTTAAAGATGTGATGCCAGCTATGATATTCATTACAATTTAATCAATAATCATAAATACAAAGCTTGCAAAGGAATGCCTGTCACTGGATTTAGGAGGTAAATAAGAGGAACAGAGATAAATAATAGAAATATAAAAATATTATATTTTATCTAACAATTGACATACCAGCTTGAAAGGCCAACAAGTATGTAAGTGATAGGTCAGCAGTCATGTTCCCTTCCACAAAAGAAGTCAGAGCTTATTTTCTAAAACCAAACCAATACATTTATTTATTTATAAATATTTTCAAGTATGTCCTGTGTTTTATAATAGCTGATTCATTATCTAGATCATAGTACCTTACCATGTATTTTTCAAATGGTTACTGCTCACCAGAACACCCACCATTCCCAAAGCAGAATGTTTTGTAATTAGACAAGTGCATGGCAAAAAAAATCAGTTTGGGCAGTTTGGGATTTTGATTTGGACATATTTAGTGGTCGTTTCATGAACAACTATTGGGATGAATCAAAATGGTGACAAATGTTCTAATCACTGCACTGTAAAATATAAATATTTTTTATATATTTGCAGTACACTAATGGGCCCAAGTTCATGTCAGTTTGGTTCACAGGTCAAGTGAGAAAATGTAACCAATTGAGTGAAAAATGAGAGGAGCATTACAAAAAAAAATAATCTATATTATTTTATAATCAAATATGTAATATATAAGTATAGCTTTTTTTTTTTTTTGTACTGCTCTCCTTTTTCCCCCCTTCTATTCTTTTTACTAGATCTGTGAATAATCATCAATAATCTTATTTTTTATTTTATTTTTTGGCACCATGAAACTCCAGATCACAAATCAGACAATATATTTCCATGCATCGTTCGTTTGTTTTTATGATCATCCAAGATCCAGGTTCGAGAATTCAGGCAAAACGCTGATCACCCAAAGTTCAGACGAATCACAATTTGGGAGAAACTGAATGCAGAAGTCTAACTGTAACTAACTTTCTTATTTTGCAGAAGTAAGAACTACTGTTTGTCATGCAGGTTATATTGAAAAGAATAATGCAGACTGTTATTCTGCATGTGTATTAAATATACAAGTTAATGTGCCAATATATAGTTAGATAAAACCCAAGACTGGTGAGACTCTATTGCAGGTAGAGACTGAGAGACTGACCTGTGACATATATAATAGGAGAGTAAGAACTCTGAGTGTACTAGTAGTATGTTGTGAGCCTAAAATGTGTCATATTTCCAGTTAAACACACTTAATCGAAGCCAAGAACATTAAGTATTAATGTATGAAGTATTAACTATCAAACATTTTACAAACATATTTACAGTTTATTTAACAACCTGCCAATCTCACCAAAACCCATAATTAAATATTTGGGGGATTACAGACACCTGCAATAATGTGCCCGGTAATGCCATTCTTTACTTTTTCTTAAACTTAATTGATTTGAAGGATTTTTCTCACAATATTAGACATAAAGTAGTCTTAGATAGAGGAGACATATACAGAAAACAAGCTTTGGCTCTCTAAAAAGGAACCATTTACATGCTTATAATAATGTAATTGTCCATCATATAGACTGCTTAGTAAAAGGTATATAAAAATGTCTTTAAAAAGCTCTGATTTTAAAAAAAAATGGCCATTTCAGGATCAGCGCTGATGTATAGCACAAAGTCGACTAGGTCTACAATATGTATATCAACCTTGGCAACTGCTAAAATATCAAGTGGAAAATTAAATTAAAATAAGGCTTACATTATAGACGTCAGAAAGGGTAAAAACACAAAATGTCTACTGCTCTATAGTATCACTACAAAATATAACAGGAACTGCACTCATTAAAGGGAGATAAATGGGTGCTATCAGGCCAGGTGCTAGCACAAACCACAACAGTAGAAGAAGAAAGGTCCTGGCTTAACAGAGACCCAATTGGGTCGAAATATGTGTTCCAAATAACTATGCCCTTGTGTTCCAAATAAATATGCCCTTTGAGCATAGAAGTGCCTGGACCTTTTTTGTTTTACTTGACATCTACTGCCCTATAGTAAACATACAATGTAAAATGCAACTGATTGATGATGTCACTTTATTAGCCACCCAAGTGTTGATATGTGAGGTCTTGAACATAACTGTTATGCTATTCACAAACATGTTTTTTTTTAATTCACAGTCCACATCTTAATTTTTATTGCAGATTAAATGAATGGAGTTATACAAGTTGGTAAAAGTGGCAATGTACAGTAGCATCACACTGGTGGGTGTAACAGGAAATGTTGTCATCCTTGCTGCCTTTGTTATGATGGTTTACCGAGAGCACAAGCTTGTAGGCTCTGAGCTTATATTATGTCACCTTTCTTTAGCCAACCTCCTTGGATACCTTACCAGAATCTTCCCCAGCATCCTCTTTGAGATAGGAGTCAAGGGATATATTAACGATGCTGGCTGCAAAGTGACATCTGCAATCTTCAGAATATTCCGTGGCATGGGCATTAGCCTCACTTGTCTGCTCAGTTGCTTCCAAGCAATCATTCTAAGCTCAGCTGGCACCAGTTCTTCCTTGAAGATTAAAATACAAGACAGTATGCAGCCAGCTATCTGCATCCTCTACGTGATGAGCATAATAGTAAATACGCCCTTTGGCATGTACGCCACTGAGGCCTTCAACTACACAGGTGTCAAGTATGCCTACGGCCCAGGTTATTGTATTGTAGTCTACCCCGACCAAGTCTCCTTTGCTGCTTCTGGGTTTGTTAGCTTTGCCCTTGATTTGGTTTTGGTAGTGTTCATGGCACTTGCTAGTTGTTACATCCTGTTGATTCTTCACCGACACAGTAAGCAAGTGAAGGCTCTTAGAAGTGCTAATACAAACAAGGGGCAAGTTTCTGCTGAGGGTCAGGCAGCCCGTGCTGTAGTAACACTGGTAACTTTTTATGCCACTCTGTATGGAATTGATAACACCATCTGGCTCTACCAAACCATTTCTACCCATCTCATAGCTTTGGTGTCGGACATCAGAGTTTTTTTCAGCATGGGTTATGGTTCAGTCTGCCCATTTGTGCTCATTATATTTAACAGGAAAATAAGAAGCAAACTAAATCCTTGGGTTAAAGAATAAAAATATTGTTTTCCTAAGGCGTCATATTACAAACCTGTTATACTGGTGTGAAAACAGTACAAAGGCAAGGTCCATTGCACAAAAAACATATTAAATGGTTTATTTGAAACTAAAACATGAGAGATCTGGTTTTACAAAGTTTAAACCCTAATATATGCTGGTTATTTGTTTATTCAACGATATTCACATGTTGATATGGGATGTTGACATTGCACAAGGTTTGTCGCAAAAAACAAAGAGGTATGTCAGAAATGAAATATGCAAAACGTTTTACGCGCAAATAGAAGTGCAAGCCAAAATAGGAGTGATGTCTGTTATGCACGCATAAATACTTCTCGTCAGCCACCTACAGCTTAATATACACAGAGCATTTCTGAATCGCTCTATATTGATTTATAATGGTTTACTACATTTAATAAAGTACTTACACTTACATTTCATAATAAGTGGTGCAAATCAAATTGATAAGTGGGAAAAAAAGACATAGAGTGTAATATTTAGTCATACTTTCAGATTAGAAAAGCACATTTTACCTGTTTTGAAGATATCCATTAGAAATAAAGGTATAGGTGTCAAAATAAACACATAATTTTTGTTTTGTCTGTTTATGAAGATAATAAAGTGTAAACTCTGCAATAACCCAAGTCTCTCAATATTTAAATATTTAGCTAAGCTATAAATTAGAGTTTGAAATTAGAATTGAAATGATACATGAAAAAAAATGTGTATTTCAAATTCTTTGTCAGTAGTGAAAGTTTAAAAAAAGTAAACAATTACAGGTTGGTTGCACCCCCCTTTTTACCTCTTCTTCCACTTCTCTCTGTTCCTCCCCTCTTATCTGCTCTTTCCCTTCTTCTTTACTTATACCTATGTTTATTCATACTTTTATGTATATGGAATCATTGTCACGTGTTATATCTTTGTTACAATGCAAATGCTCCTGAAAAAAAGGTGCTCTTGTCACATTTGTATGTTACATATAACTCTCTCATTATATTTTCTAATGTACTACTAAATAAAGATTCTAAATAAAGATTGTCAATAAAAAGTAAACGATAACAATAATGTTGTGTATAATAATAGAATGAATTGGGATAATTTAAAATTCAGTTTCATAATATTTTTATTGTCTATGCATTACAGGTAAACATTCTAGTATATGTAGCTTATCGAAGGGATAGACAGAGATATAAGAAAGTTGACTTATTGTATGCTCAACATTCATACTCCAACTTGTTCGTGCTGAAATGTACCATAACTATGAAAACAGATACATTATTTGCTAAAGAGTGAAAATAAAGCCAAAAGTCCAGTTCCCCTTAAAATATTTACTTTTCCATGCAGTAAATTGACATACTATCCTGGCACACCTGTATTGCTGTCAGTGTTTAGCATATCTTTATTGCAATGGTGCTATGACAGTGTAGAAGAATAGCAGGGATGTGTATTCAAATATGGGGGAAAAGCGGCAAAGACAACTATATGGTCACATATGAGAATACCGGAAATAAACACTGAAAGTTCCAGTTGTTTCTCAGCTGTTTTGCAACCACAAGCTTATCTTCACTGGTTAACGTTCATTAATCAGTGTCATTCTTCAACAATACTTAAATGTATTGGTTATTTTCTTTACTTTTCTACCTCTCACTTGACTGGATCACAGTCTGTGGGCAAAATGGAGCAATTCTGCAGTATGGCATTGTTATATAGCACCAAGAGATTACCCCATTCTTTAAAGATTTGCTTTGTGACTTCTGCAATGTATGCTAGCCAGTCACTCTGAGTAGGACAAAGATGGAGCTCTTTCTCATTGCCTGTGTTAGAACATTGCATCTATGACTATCTCCAAATAGTCTGCTTTGAGGAAGCACATCAAGAATTGGTTCCAAGTGGGTGCTTAAGTAACTGGGCACAAAATGTTAATAATGTTCTGTGCTTTTGTTCTATTCAAGGGAGATACGTATTAGCCAAATTAAAGATACAGGCTTTGTGTAAAACAGGTCCAGAATAGCAAACCTTAAATACGAATGTAAATCATTCACATGTAAAATGTATTTTTCAAAATATAGGTTTAGAAGCTTCCTGACAAATCGAGCATCTTCTTTATTTTTGAATAACACTTAAAACAGCACTGTCATGGCCTCATTCGGGTTTTTTTAACCCCTGTATCCCTACTCCACTACATTTTATTGTCCCCCTAGTCACTCCTAAATGCCCCTAGGCAACCCATTTTACCTTTTGTAACTCTTTATTTCATGCCCAGACCTAAGTCCTAGGAGCCGTCAACTTTGTGTGAGTAGAAGAAGGCCCTGTGGGATACGTCCTCTGCCTATCCTAGGAAATTCCAGCGCATGCCCAGTTGAACACTTGGGCATTTGCTATTGTCCAAAATTCGGACAGGAATTTCAGCTATTCATTTTCAGAAAGATGAATGAATGAATAGATGTTTTAAACAAATGAACGAAGACCGGTCTTCGTTCATTTAGTTTATTACAAGGAGGGAACTACCGGCTAGCGACTCCCTAATATATAAAAATAGAAGTCCCACATATTAGCATAAGGGACATTAAAATATCCCTAATGCCACTACTCGCTATGTCGCAAGTAGGGGCATGTCTGCTAAACAGTGGTCAGCCAGTGACTGCTCACTGTCGTACAAAAAGACCCCATCTCAAATCCAATATAGGGGGACCTAGCACAGGATCCCTTACCCCCATTGCAGGGCATCTATTAAAATAATTAACTGAGACACAGAGTGTCCTCCCCCAGCCCCGACATGTGCTCTGTGAGTGCGGGCTACTCAATTAAATGGGGGATCTGAGGTCCCCCCTTGCACCCACTCATGAGTGGCAGACAGGGGGCCCAAAGTGACAAGAGGGTAGAGGCCTACTGCTTCCCCCTGGCCCTCACCATGAGCGTCGGGTCGGAGCCCTAGGTGACAATAGGGGGGGAACCTATTGTTCCCCCCAGTCCCCACCCATTGGCAATGGATGGGGGCTAAATGTAAAAATAACCCCCCTGGTGATGAGGGGTCCCCAAGTCCATAGTCACCCCCTATAAAATAAAACCCTACCTACCCCCCTCACCATAATAATAGTGAGGGGGGAGCAATCAACTAAATACCAATTTTGGTCTTTCAGCTTTTTAGTAGATAGCTCCCTGATACTGTAGGAATTAAGGGGCTATTTCCTAAGAGGCTGCAAGTTGAGCCGCAGCACAGGTCAGATCAAAATGTTATTAATTCAAATTAAATTCCGAACTGAACAAAATGCCAGAATTTTGTCCTAACATGAACTGACAAACTGTCGACATTCTTTTAAGCCGAAATTCTGTGAATTCGCCAGCGCCCTAGTCTAAATGATGGGACCCTCGAACAGCGAATGAAGCAAGCAATGAAGAACAAGGAAAATTTCATTGATCACAGGAAATGGAGCTGACAATCTACTCCTCTGGTCAAAGAAGGTATCTACTTTGTTTTATGTTTTAAAGAATACTAGATCAATTAGGAATTAAAGGAAGAGAAGAGAAAAAAATGGGAGCAAGTTAAGTTCGGCATGACAGTGACGCTTTAAATCATGAAATACCTCTCTTTCACATAGCATGGAAACAACAGGGGTACACTGTCAAATCCCAGCTCATTTAGAATTAGTCATTGCACAAACAAATCTGAGAGCAAGAAAGGAAAGATCTTTACAAGAAGCAAGTTCAACTTCTCATTGTTACCATGTTCGGCCACAAGAAAGGGTTTAATGGGTAGAGTGCAGCTCTACCCTTAGAACAAAAGGCCCAAACACAGCTGTAGTCTACAGGAATCTTGCTTTGCTGATAAAATCAAAGTGAGTCATAATAAATTGCCCATAAGAAGTTAATGTTAAAACTAAAAGATAAGAAATAGAAACAAGAGATGCATTAATATAAAAACTATATTGCATGTATGGTATCTTTTAATGTCAGTATGAGACTCTTACCTGCACTGATAAAACCCAGTCCATGTTATAAAGACTCAGAAAGTCCCTAAATACAGAAATAGAACAAAGTGCTTAATAAAGAGTTATGACGGAAACATTTTAACCATTATGGCATTATATTTATACTCAAAGATAACAGACAGGGAAAAACTGGAAAAAAATCAAGTCAAAGGTAAATAACTAAAACATACCTAGAATATGTGCACACCTCAGACACACTTTCAAAATATAATATAGAAAGTAAATTTCACCATGCCTTCATTATTTATGACAACTAAAAATAGTCACAAATAATTTTCTAGATTCTCCTTAAAGAAAGCTGTCACTTCAGTGGAAATTACATAATTGGAAAAAACATAATCTAAAACTTGTGCTAACCTCTTTTTTGAGTTGCTCCTTCTTCTTTTAAAGCTAGATTAAAGATTTAGCAAATTACATCACAATCCAGTTCAGTTGAAGTTAAAGCAAAACAAACTTATTCCTGTCACTATAGCTGTAATATCACTATTTGGCCCCCGGGCCTTCCTGTAAGCAATGTAAAAGGTGAATTTACTCACCTTTATTCTTGGGCCGCACAGGTCCGTCGGCATTGACTCCATCTGAGATCAGCCAATCTAATGCTTTCATTGTTTGAAGTTGAGGTGTGATGCAAAATGATCGACTTCGAGAAGACCCCAAAGCTATTGCTTATGTGCAGGAAAACTCAGCGCTGGCCAATCAGCATCTCCTCATAGACATGCATTGAATTAATAAATCTCTATGGGGAATGTTCAGCGTCCCACTGAAAGTCAGTGCTGCACATCTGAGTGACTGCAACTAGAGGTATACCGAGACAGTAATGTAAACCCTGCCTTTTCTCTGAATATGAAAAGGGTGTTCTTCCAGAGAGTTTTTGGTGGGACCAGAAGATGTCCAGGCCATCTGCCCATTCGTTGCTCCCAGGGCTCATCCAGATTCCAAGCTCCTGAGCCAACGTCCACCTCACCGTTCTTCCCAGTCAGATGCAGTCCTTGGCAGTCTCATGGAACCAGAGTTTCTTCATATAGCCGATGGCCTTATGGTAAGTTCTTTTCCATCCAATCTTTCTTCGATTTCAGTTATGGGTGGCAGATTGTGCTATTTTGTCAATGCCTGGTGCATATTAACATCAGATGCTTGGGTCCTACAAACTATCTTGGGTTATACATGGATTTTCTACAATACCCTGTTCAAATGTTTTCTACCCAACTGCTCTACGCATGACCGATGCTTAGTGTCAGCAGAAATACGGTCTCTAGAATCCAAAGGTGCAATCTCGGAAATTCACCCTCACACAGGTTTCCTAAA